CTGACGCCCATTCTTCGGATTCCTCCTGTTACTCAGAGAGGTTCGGCCTAACTGTATAGCATCAACATGTTTGCCTAATTCAGCAGTAATTTTTCAGATAATGTTACAGTATCTAAAAACATCAGAATTCTTATGAGTTGCAGTATTGGAAATCAAACAAATGTTATAAAATGTTCACTGCATGAAAACAAAACAATGGTATGTCAGGTATAAAGTCCTAGTGCATCACACATGACAACATGTTACAGCCATTCTGAGGAAATCCCATTTTTTGTTTTTTTTATTTATTACTTGATGTTTTTTCTACAGCTTTCTGACTTCATAATTGAAAAGATTATTCCAAGTTTAGCTATTTAAGCTTTGACTTTCAGAATTGAATCTCAAAAGACCCAACTACTCCATCGAGATCTGCAAAAACAGGTTGCATGGCGGACACCGAGTTGGCTGCAAAGACAGGTGCTTGCAGAGCAGCAGAGAAGCTATGAAGAGAGCGACTTAAACCAGAATCGGGGAATCTTCACTTCCAAAGTAAAAGTTGTGCTTTACCACTGAAACCAACCTGTTTCAAAGAGTACAAATTTTTACTTTGAAGGCAAATTGTTCTCACAGTTTCACTACCACTTACTGAGTAGCTAGTGAGTATTTGGAGACAAGTCAGCAAAGTAAGGGTTACCATGGCAATCTGCTAGCCGCCAAAGCCATCTCAAGGAGGTTTTTGGTGCAGCATAGTTTACCTCTTTGCTACCAGTTTCACGTAGCAACAGCAAACAACCTCCAGCAACCGCTTGCCAACCGGTTGGGTATTACACATTTTTCCCCCCAGCGTCACTGACCGCTCGACAGTGTGACTAGGAGTTTAGCAGTCATTTTCATAGTTACTGCCAGCAACAGCCAGCTACGACTTACAACCAGTCAGGTAATGCTAGTTTAACTGGTGGCATTATGGTTCTAACTTGACTCTAGTGGTCCCAAGAGCCAAACCCCCCCCAATGTTCTTGCAGGATTAAGGACTGATATGACAACTCGAGCTGTTTGGTTAGAGTAACAACAGGATTAGAGGCACTAATCATAAATACTGTTTAAATACTGTTAAATACTGTTAACAGTATTTACTAATCATAAATACTGTCTATTTTTGATACTGTCAGTATCAAAAATAGACACTGAAACCTAGCACTCTGCCTAAGATGGACAGAAAAGTCATACTGTGATTAGTTACATAATTACAAGCAATCACTTGCCAACTTTTCTGGTAAGTCTCCGTGTTAAAACCTCCCCATAATTCTTCATAATATTAGCAACTAATATTTACTGCTTAAGAGTGCAGTGCTAGCGCGTTGTGCCACTGTAAGTAAAGATAAAGCAGTCCATTGTGTCTAAATGGTGCTATTTTCCAAACTTGTCCCCCCGCCTTTTTTTTTTAAACTGTGCGTACTTTAAATTCATTTATTGTGAGACTTTATATTTATATGTGAATAGCATAATGAATGCTTTTTGTTTTCAAAAATGTAGATTCAGTTTGTGCCAGAAACTAGTTAAATATGTAAGTTTTTCCTGTCTAATCGTTCAACAAATTGTTAGCCAACAGAAAGTAGCACATGTTCATGTGCCCTCTGAGGTAGCAGCAATTAGGCTAATGTGATGGGTAATGGAGAGATCACAGCATGTCAGAGAATTAATCAGTTGCGTCTCTGTTGGATGTGGCTAATAGGTTAGCGTGGGTAGATATTACTCCACCACATATAGTCTAAGTAAAGTGGAGGATCTTAGTGCACCTTGTGTGTTTGTGTTTGTGTCTTTGCCCTGATCTTAAACATCAGCGTTCGAGGCACAAAAAGCAAAACCAAACCTGTTTCTGACAGTTTTCTGTCTCCTCTCTGTCCCGCTGGTATTCCTCCTTTTTGGGATGTTGGAAACGCTACACTGGTTATCTTGTATTCTGTTCGGTACGCTGTCTTTTTGGAGTGTTCTGTTTGTGCTCTTACATGCTTCTCTGCTTTGGAGGTCATGGAGATTTGAGGACTTTGAGCACACTCCTCTGTACCTGACCTAGTTTCACTAGAAATTTCCCATTCTCTGCAAAAAAAAAAAAGTAGCTGAAATTTATTACAGCTTTAGAAGTAGGGCAAGAATGGAAAGTTGCTAACCAAAGAAGAGTATTCCACAGGTAGATGGAGTTGTAGGGACATTACAAATAAGTTCTCTGAGAACATGATGATAAATATAATTATCAAGTTGTTTCAGGAAAACTGTTTTCTCTCTTTTTTTTTGACACAGCTTCAAAACCTGGCCTTCCCAGAAAAAAAGAAAGAAAATCTCTCCTCCCCCTGTATCTGGCCTGTGTCCCACCTTCAGGTCTGGAGCTTTAACCTTTAGAGACTTCTGCTGCTGCTGCTTCTTGGGTTTGGCTGAGGCTCAGTTTCCTGGGAAATTGGCCAGGCAAAGAAGTGTGGGTAGATGAGCAGAATAAAGATTTCAATTGTGCACAAGTGATCACAGGAAAAAAAGGAGATATTGTTTGGTAGGAATAAATATTACAAAAGGATGTGGTCTTTTGTGTATTTGCCAAATAGGAGTAAGCTCTGGTGTAAAATAACTGCAAAGTGGAAAAAAACAAAACACGAAACATCTGCTAACTGATATAAAGATTAAAGGCATGATAGGAATATGACGTGACAAGCTACTCATAAAACACACTCTTAGAGTATTTATGAACTAGTATTTAATAACAAGTTGCTATCCAGCGTCATTGTATTTGACAACCAAGAAAAGACTATTGACTCTTTCATCAAATTCAAGAAATTAAACAAGTTTCTTACTGAACTCAACTTGTGGAATCAATGTTCGCTCTCTTTCACTGTATTTTGGCAGCTTCTTTTTCCAGTCTGCACATGCTAAGTGAGAGGGAGTTCCTTGTTACAGTAATGTTAGAGAGAGCCATAAAACTCGTGTTACTCATTGTCTCTTCTCATTTCAGGATAGCCATTTGTGTGTGTGTGTGTGTGTGTGTGTGTGTGTGTGTGTGTGTGTGTGTGTGTGTGTGTGTGTGTGTGTTTCCATAAAGACAAGCTGAAAACAGTTTGGTTTGAGAGTCAAAACAACCTCATTTGAACCATAGCTCGATGTTATCATCTCACCTGGCTATACTGTAGCATGTATCTACAAGAAATATGGTGGTGCTGAGAGTAAATACAGCAAATACAGAAAGCACAAACAGACACTTCACCACAGCAGGGCTTAGAGTACATATTTAGATTCATATCTGATCGTAATGTTAAAGTGAGCAAAACATCTCCAGCACATTTCCCACTGTTGAATGGCTGACTTCATAGCAACGCACTGTATGCCAGCCATCATTTTATATTGAGGCTGGCCCATTAGATTGAGTAAGAAAAGTAATATCACCACTTGTGACGGCTCTAGAGGGTTGGCTTCAATTTCACCGAGGCTTAGAATTATCATTAGTGGCAGTTGCAAGCTGCTTTGAGTAAATGCTTTTATTGTATTCATATCTTACTTAGGAACTATCAGCATGTATCCATCTGTGTGAAACACCCACACGCTTCCTTTTTCACAAGACTTTATGCAGTCCTGTTAAACAAAAAACAAAACTGCTTCTATTGGTGTCAAGAAGGTAAGTAACAGCCAGGTGCTGCTAATCAAATGCACTTGATCTTTTGATCATGAAATGTAACCACTGCTATAAAACAGAATGTTTGACAATTTGCTGGTCTGGAGCTTTAAGTTGTGGCAAGGAGAAAAGGCATCGGCAGTAATCTTAGAGAAACAACTGTTGCTGCCCATCAATCTGGGAAGGACTATACGACCATTTCCAAATAATTTAAAGTCCATCCAAAGACTCATCACAAGTAGAAAACATTCAAGACAGCTGCCAATCTTGGATGTGGATTGTCCCTGAACATTCACTCCAAGGTCAAACCCTTGCAAAGCTGAGAGAAAACCCAATAGCTACATCTCAGACTATAGGCCTCAGTTAGTGTGTTAAATGTTAAACACCATAATAGTACAATTAGAAGAAAACTGACCAAGTAGGCCTTGTTTGGAAGTGCTGCTAAGAGAAAGCTTTTTCTTCTGTAAAAAGAACATGGGAGTATAGCTTATGTTTGCAAAGTTGGATCTGAACAAATCACAAAACCTCTGCAACAACCTCTGTGGACGGAACAAACCGAAGATGTCTGGTCATATAACTCAGTGCCACGTTTAGTGAAAACCAAACAGCATATTAGCACAAACACCTCAACTAACTATCAAGCGTGGCGGTAGATTGGTGATGATTTGGGCATGCAGCCACAGGACCTGGGTACCTTGCAGTCACTGAGTTGACCATCCTCTGTGTACCAGAGTCACATGTGAGGCCATCTGTCTGATAGCTAAAGCTTTGCTAAAACTGGATCGAGCACATGCAAGCACAGCATCAAGTCTGCAATAGAATGGCTGAAAAATAAAAGAATTAAAGTGCTGCAATGGCACAGTCAAAGTCCAGAGCTCAACCTGATTGAAATGCTGTGGTGGAACCATAAGAGTGTTGTGTATAAACAAATGTCTGCAAACTTCAATGAACTGAAGCGATGCTGTAAATTAGAGTAAATAAGAGTGGGCGAAAATTCCTCCACAATGATGTGGGAGACTGATAGTCATATAGAAAAGTATTACTTTTTAGTTTTTCACAGGACTGCATAGAGTCTTGTGAAAAACTCACATTTTTCATATGACTGTAGGAACGCACCTTGCTAACAAACCATGCTTACAGTAGCTAATAACTTATGACCGTAGGTGCATAGGTTAAGGTTTCAGAGCCCATAAAACAAACTTCACAGATGCTACACCCATCTTTTACATACAGTCTGGTCATAAGCCAAAGAGCTGTCTGATCCAAAAAAAACTCAATCATCACACAGTGAGAACTATCATCTGCATATGTGTGGGTGCATGCCACAATTTTTATGTTAGTTCATCTTCTAGTACATTCATAGTCTTACCAGAGCTTTAGTCTCCTCCTCATCTTTGTAATAGTAGAGCTGATCCCCTTTCAGCACAAACCAGCGACTGTGCCACGTTTTGACAAAACCTCCTTGCTTCCGGAGCCACCCACACCTGATGACATTCAACTTTTGACCCTCAGTACTGACATGACCTCCGCTGCGATGAGGACTGCCATGAGACACACACTGGTCATCCATCACAGCTACTCCAACCTGCAAACAAGCAAAAGAGTTCCAGATTGATTAAACTCACGGAAGCTGCAAGTTCGACACAAACCAAACAGCACCAGTATTTTTGCAAGATGTCAATCATCATTAGAAGGATATGGAAGTTTTAATATATCTTATCGTACAGGCCTCTGCATTGCTGGATGTGAAGCTTAAGGCACTCAGACAGAGTTGAGTGTCCACAGACCAAACCTCAAATCTCTTTTATCTTATTCAGTGTGTCACCCACCTACACATGTTGGCCTGCTAGGTCTGATCTTGTCCCAGTTTTATATTTTATCTCTCCTACGTTTAGTGCCTCAATCTCTTGAAGTTGCAATTGGCAAGATGCATTGCCATTTTGCTGATGCCTTTTAAAGGTCTTCATAGCCAGATGCCTCTCTATAACAGTGAACTGACCTGACCACAGACCTACATGTGGAGGCTTCCTTTTATTTTAGTTTGATCCATTTGTGCAATTTGAGTTGTTGAACCTTATTTATAATGTGAAGCACTTCACTTTAAGTAGTTTTAAATAGAGAATACTTTCGGCCATTTAGTGCTTATTGACTAGCATTGGTAGCAAGCTAAACTAAGATGATAAAAAAAAACGGTCGCATGTCGCTGTTGGTGTTCAAAAACTGAAGGCTTACAGGGCTGCTGACATGGCTTTAGACTTTTTATTAAGGTGCAGCTAGGCAATTAAAATCACTTTGTACAAAGTCAAAGGTTTGTGTACAATTCTCATTTTTGTGATTTATTTAGACAACAACAAGTCAACAAGATTACAATATGTTAAAAGATAGGCGAATGAAAAAATGTAGTTAGCGGTACCTAAAAGATCAAACTGGTCACAAGCATTTTGCTGCTGGTATACTTTCACCTGTGCGTTAACAAACCATTTTCATCTCTTTCATCCCATTTTTTTTAAAGTTATGATTTTCCCAGAATTGGACGGCTAGAATGACTGGGCAGAAACAGTGATGCATTTTAGCCTTTAAGAAATAAGTTTACTGTCCACAAAATGCAGCCAAAGTGAAAGAAGGTGTTTTTGTTGGTCCTGAAATCTGTGAACTATTGCTAAAGCCATCTGAATAAGCAGCAATGGGAAACATTTGTGCACAGAATTGTCTTGGCAATATCAGAGCAGAGAATCTTGCTGAGCTTGTGGATAACATGCTGAAAGCACATCAACTAATGAGTGCCAGAATGTCACTGAAATTGCACTTTTTACATTCTCATCTTGACATTTTCCCACCAAATCTGAGTGATGTCACCAAGGTATAAAAGTATTGGAAAACCGACACCAGGAAAAATTGAATCAGAGGATGATGACCCGCTACTGTTTGTTCTTGCAAAGAGAGACGGGTGTGCAGTGCATGCGCAAAAAGCAAGTGCCTCAAACATGTTTGTGGATTTATTTTGAGCTAAATTGACAGAAATATGCTTTGGAGAGATCCTGAGATCGTCTTCTCTTGTTTTTGTCCAGAATAAACACATTAAAACAATTTTTGGAAACTTCTAGCCATAGTGTTGATACATTATATTGAGATACACATCATTCACGTCAAACATCAATGATGTGTATCTCAAAAATGTTACGAGCAAGCTTAAATCAGATTTCATGTCTGCAATCAGTTGGAAAACAAAAAGATAAATAGCCCACCTGAAGACCTCAGAAGCAAATTTTATTTATCAAAATATATTGATTTGTACATCTGTGTAATACAGGTCAGTGCAGTCTGCATATTAATGTACCCTATAACTACTATAAATATACACACCTGCATCATCATTGACATATGCTAAGACTGCTGCTGTCAGCTATAAGCACTGCCATGTTATCAGTGGCTCTGGTTGTGCTTGGCTTGGTGAATGTCCAACCATCCCACATGGACCAGATGTGGACCAGATGTGGACCAGAAGCAGCTCTGCAGTTTTCCAGGCAGCAGTGGAGCAAGTGCAGCCAGGCTGCTGGCGAATTCAAAACTCTCTCTGGTTCGGTCCAGGTAAGAATGTCACCAGTGCACGTTCATGCACGAGCATACTCGCGCCTTTGCACTCCTCGAAGAAAATAGCTGTTTTCCCATTGCAGTGCGGTGACTACAACCTACTTATTATCTTTTATCCATCTCAAGTTCGTCTTTGTTCCACTTTCATGCTAGATGAATACATGGAAAGCATGAGTAGGGCTTTTCTGTCAACAAAGAGATCAGTTCATTCAGAGAAAAATGATGGTGTGGGCTCATCTAACACTAATATTGGTGGGAATAATCTCTGTTTCCCTGCATGCATTTATTCGTCATCATGTTGGCCAGTCTGCAAGCACACAAATAAACAGAAAAACCAGTAATATCAAAAGTCACTCCAGATTCACTGATATGCTCATAGAGTCACCTGCTGTATTAGGAGTATGAAGCCATAGCCCCACATTTTTATGCCTCCTGCATGGGGCACAGCTAACAGCACTGCTGGGACCAACCAATGGTAAAACTTTGAATTGAAACTGTAAATAACTCAGCCCTTTCTTAATGTGAATATCTTGGATCTGGCTGACAGTAGAAATACCATTTAGATTTACATTACACTGTGGCCCAGTCCAGGGGTAATAAATTGCCGTACAAATGCATAGCCATTACTAAATCTATAAATTACCTGACAAATGGAATAGAAGCAGAAGAAAAGTTAGTGTTTTTATCGGCCCATGCAGGAACTGCATGATGAATGGTGACCTTTGCAAAGTTACTCATTTTAATTGTTGTGGTCTCACTAAAAGCACATTCATATTTGTGGGTGACATAAACAAGTCTAATAGACTCAATAGAAAAGAACAGCAATAAACTGATGAACAAAGTACAGTATATGTATATGATCATCAGGTTCTTCATTTAGCAGTTTTCAAAAGCAGTGAAACACATGATGCTTTATCACTTATGCACATCACATTCCTGAGTTTTAATTGATAGAAACCCAATGAAGCAGACAACCATTTCCTCAAAAGCTTGCATACATATCACAAATAAGAAATCATAACAGCAGCGGATGGTTTATGTGGCCATCAAGCAACAACAACCCAAACAAGTGCTAAGGTAAGCTCAATGACCCGTTTTCCAAACCAGCCATTCGTTGTGGAAGACACCTCCCCAGTACGTGCATATAGATGTGGCTGTAAGCATATTTATGAAGCACCAGCAAAGTCTCTTCAGAGCACATCACTGTTATATCGATTCAGCATTTTGAAAACCACCTCCAAGAGCTGTATACTGTGTCCCAGTAAAACACCTGTGTGTACAGATGCATGTGTGCAGAAGCGTATCAGTCCCTTGAGCCACAGTCTCAAAATAAACAGCGGCACACTGGAACAGTAATATTAATGACTTTTTGGTCTCCCGGCATAACCCCACTGTTAGGAAAGGGAGGAAACTACTGACACACGAAGACAAGAAAGCTTTCAGATTCAGTCTGCTTTAAACTTTAAGGTGCTTTCTTTTACATACAACCGTACAGGTAGAGTACATTTCAAATGAAGACAGTAATGTAATCAATGTTGTTTAAGTTAGAGGTTGACATGAACCCTTGTTTTTTAGTAAGGTCAAGCATGATATAGAATTTGGCATTTAATTTTCAAAGCAATATTTATCATTTAAAACCAGAAAAAGCAATTGTTTATGAGCTTATCAGCAATGTGTATTTCTGACCTAGTTGGCAACACTGTGCAAAGACACGTTCTTGACTGTGTACCACCATCTGCTCGGCTGTGATGCTGCTCTTATGCATGTGCTGCAGACTGAGCTGAGATCATTCTAAACAATACAAAGAAGCAACATGCACTCACTGGCTGCTTTCTCAGATTCACCTGTTCAGCTGCTTATTAATGTAATTATCTCATCAGCCAATCGACTGGCAGTAAGTCAATGCATTTAGGCATGTACATATGGTCAAATCAGCTGAAGGTCAAAAATAGCTGAAGTTCAAACTTTCATATGGGAAAGAAAGGCAATTTTATGAATGCTGCACGGTTGTTGTTGTGAGATGGGCTGGGAGTATTTCTGAAACTGCTGATCTACTGGGATTTTCCCACACAACCATCTTTAAGGTTTACAGAGAATGTTCTGAAAAAGAGACGATATCCAGCCGCCACAGTCTAGCTGGGTATTGTTGCTGACTATATCGGTCCCTTTTATGACCACAGTGATGGTTGCTTCCAGCACGATAGCACACCACAAAGCTCAAAACATCACAAACAGGTTTCTTGAACATGAAAATAAGTCTACTGCAGTCAAATGACCTCCAAATCACCAGATCTCAATCCAACAGAGCACCTTTGGGATGTGGTGGATCATCATGGATGTGCAGCTGACAAACCAAACAAA